TGTACGCTCACCACAGGTAACATTCTCCGTAGTGAGTAACGTCTTCAACACCAGTAGTCGATTACTCGTGACAATAAGTACTTCTTTGCAAATCATTAAATTAAACATTCTAGTCTATGCACTGCGTAAAGTGCCCTAGTAGTAGAGGTGGCGGTTGCATGAGTTCGAGTAGGGTGGACCTGATCTCTTGTAAAGGATGCGAGGACAAATACGTTGGCCAAACAGATATACCACTTTCTGTCCGTATCTAGATGGCACATCTAGATGGTAAACTTAAAGAAAGTACTCCACTAGGCTCGCATAGGTCCCTTCCTGCATAAAAGAGCGCGCCTCATTGAGAGTACGAACGTCTGTGCACCTCGACTTGGACCATTGACTCTGAGGAAAAGGAAGACTTCGAAACGTCAGCTGACAAAAACTGCTTATCAACGTCGTATTAACTTATCAATGGAAGAATAAATGTTGATCAGTCGTACCAAGATTAAGAGAACGTCTGGTCTTGAAATTTTGAAGGTCATTTAACCAAAGCCTTTCCCGCACCCTTTTTGGTCCACTGTGATTAAAAATGGCTCAATTATTTCTTTGTAAAGTTATGACGTCAGTTGTTTCCCAAAATCTTCACCACATTGTCAGCCCCCTGTTTGAATAAATGGAGAAGGTATCGCTACGTTATGATTTAATAATGGGAATATTTTGATTTTGCTAACTGAACTAAAAATTCCCATTTCCGTGTTCCATTAGAAACAATTCTAAGAGTTTTGTATTTCTGCAATCATTAGTAAGCTTCTCTATAGTCAATAGTCAATGTTTTTGTCAATTTCTCAAAGAAATATGCGGAAGTGCAACTAGAAGTTTCAAACGCTTTCCTCATTACAAGTTGGCGATTGTCCTTCAATGTTTTATATCTTTTGCGATTATCCTAAGTATAAAGCTCTCGGCGTTGATCAATCCCTCAGGTATGCGCCATGCATTCGATTTCATTAAGTATCGTTTGATGGTAGTTAAATACATATCTGGCCTTTACCATGACTCGCAGTAGCCTACCGATGTATCGAGCCAGTGCTGCTATCCTTCGAGACAAGTCTGGCACCAATTTCCTGACCCCGGAGGGATTGAAGGCCCCGTGAGCCATGGGCGTGGGATTCGTTTCCACGCGTATGTCACAGCGTGCCTCCGACCACTGTGCCACACGCGCCCCTGGTTATCCTAAGGCAAGCCTTAAGTATAAAGATGAATGCCGTGTCAATTTAATTCTTTCTGTTTTCCTCTTTTAATCCTCAAGTCTCCATTTGCCTTATCATTCTATCTCCTTCATTTTCTTAGCCCTGTCTATTTTGATTTGCTTTTTTATTTTAATTTTTTCCAGATTATATCTGGATGTGTTTCATAGAAGCGTAAAGATGAGCACTTATTTGTTGGCGGTCGCAGTTCTTGACCGTTACGATTACGCGAAAGGAATGACAAAGGGCACTTCTCAGCCGATAGAGGTTTTTGTTTCATTCTACTTTTTTTTGTTACTATAGAATATCCGTTTTCAAGTTTAAGGTGGTTTCAGCTTCCCCACTAACTTTCATTGAGTTCTTCAAACAAAAACGTTACCATAAACATGTAAAAAGACATTTCTCTGCTGTTGTGGATTTCTGGCCCTCATTGAAGTTCGTCGTTCATTCAGAGTTTCGCGCTCATAAATTAAATTATGCATCTCAAAGTTGGGATGCAAGATTACAGATTGTGATGTTGAATAGTTCGGTCCACGGATTGATTTCTTCAATTATTTTGAGGCTTATATAGAAGTGTTTTCTCAAGCTGAAGACCACTTGTATTACACGCCCTGTCTTCCAGTTCATTATCGAATGAACGAATGCGGCATGCTTCTGTTCGTTCGTGGCACCAGCCAGAGCTGTCCGGTTGGTTCTGTGCTTCTCGATGACAAGAAAATCTCGAGTTTTTGCTCGTGGTCTCCATGAAGAACTGTGACTATCGAGTTGGTGGTTTGCTAGTGTGCAGGTTCGATATGCTTTGAACAGCGTCGACAACGTCTCACATCTAGTAGTTGCCCTTCTAACATGTCTTGGTTCTGGTAGCCCATCTACTCTTTGTATATGCGACGGCTATCTGATGTTCATCACCAAGGTAACTCGAATCCACGGATTTCTTGTTCCTTTATTACTAAGTGGAATAGTTCTCGATTTGTCCTTTCCACGTCACGCACTGGGAGTGCGCATTTGCTGTACACTTAGTTTGAGTACATCTATCCAGTATTGAGGTGGATTTTACCCAGGCTGCTCCACTTGTCGTTGGGGCCAATCTAGTCCTCCTTTCATCACTTGTCCCATTATTTATGACTTCACCCACTCACTCCAAATGGCTACCTGTTCATTATGATATGTGCTCATCTCGAGATGCCGTTGTACAATTTCCAACCATCTTAAGCAACGGAATATATTATTAAGAATATTTTTCTTGCTCCTATTTTCTGGATTTTATCCCTATCATGCCAGCACGATTTTTGCGAAGGTTACGTCGCCAATATTTCGGAAACAGCACAAATCTGAATGAGTGCTCAGACCAAACGAGGTCATCGGTATCTGTCACTTATTGATAGCTTTCTTCAATGGAGCGAAGTGAATCTAACCAATCAACGTCTTCCACTTATTTTACCTTGACGATGGTGTTCACGTCCACATGTATAGGTTGAACGTAGGCTCAAACACCGATTATCTAGGCACTGCTAGATGTTCCTTACACTGGACTTTTATCTCACTCAGTTAGACTTGAAAACGCATACAGTTTTCTCTAAAACTACTTGTTTCTGATGATTTCTTCAATACTGGAATGCAATGCCATTTATATTTCGAAGGTTAGAACAGTTTCTTCCTTCCTTTCGCCTATCTATTTTTTGTCTACAACTCGTTATCTGCCGCTGAAACCGATTACGTTATCCAAGCGGCCATGCAGAGCTGCAACGAGATGATGTTGACCACGTTCTTGACTAAAATTTTGAAAAACGCTTAGAAAGTTTCATAGATGTGGTAAGACCTAAGGTGATCGTCGAATATGTAAGTTAGCGTCAGCTTGTCAACTGCCGAACCAATGGTCTCAGAATGTAAATCTACACAAGTCTTCATCTTTTTTAGGAAAGGACTCATTGAAAAGAAAAAAAATCAGAGCTTTTCGTTACACTGCCTATTGTTTCGTTAGTATTTCGCGAAAGATATGAAAGGCTTCCATCAATATCCAATCAAAGTTCTGGTACTCTTGCGGTCACCTATAAATGGGATAATGAGCTGAATTCTTTTTGAACGGTTCTGATATTGGTTTAATGGAGTCAAATCTTCTCAGATTTTGCTTATATTCGTATAGTCGATTTCACTCTGGCTCTTTGAGAATGACATGGGTATGACCGTATTGACCAGCTTACACAATAAATTAGGATGTCGAATTGTGTACTTCAACTTGTTAGGGCATTCTTTACGAAACAAAGCGATGTCAACCACTGCTCAATCACTTAATCCCACAAATTATATGACATTCTGAGAAGTTAAAGCCCAAGCCGCTAATTGTATCCGCTCTTCAACTCCTGGATGCGACTCCAGTTGCTGTGGAAAGAATTTTTGCCCTTTGAGTAATTTAAATAATTTAGTTTGTCATCGTTCCTTATTTCGTCAGATAGACTACTTTTGATGGAGCATCCACATAGCTTGAGAGGTTCCAATAGGGTTTCCACTTTCTAGGTATTCTGACGGCTGCTATAGTTTTTTTTCCTTGCATCTACAATGCGTAATGAAAACGAATGCATGAAATTTCTCTTTGGGTTAGCTAACACCGTATGCTTCATCTTTTTGACTTCTATGTCCGTGTGTTTCCTACGTTGATCTAAACAGATGACGACTATTGATTCAATTATGCTTCAGGTGCGGTTGTACGCGCCTCAAGATGTGTTGAGTTATTCAGAATTCGGTCTAGACGTGGGTATTCGTTCTCTCGAGTTCTTCGAAAAATACCTACGCATACCATACCAGCTAGATAAGATCGGTAAGACTTTGTTCATTACTAACTACAAAAAAATATATTGTTGACAACGAAGGTTTTACCTGGTATGCTTCTGTTGCTAGTCTTTTAAATGCGATCGCTGCTCACGCAGTTGAGATAGAAGAGCTTTTCTTCAGTTAAAGTTCGATGATCAGTTGACTGCAAACTACCTTGGGTTGCATAATGCTTTGGTTGGTTTGTCAGCCATCAATGTGCAATCCGAATGTTTCACGAAAATTTATCGGTAGACGGCATGACTACTTTTACATGATGAGGAACGGTCCTAATACACACCGATGAGGTCGGTGTATATTGACCTGGAATATTTTAATGCACGGCAACATCCATTCGTTCCAAGAGAATTCTCCATATGATACTTCTTTTGCTACTGAAAGGCGTAAAAATCACCACGTGCTACGTTTTGTATGGTAGTGAACACCTAGTATCAAACAGAAAAAGAAGACTTCTCGAAGTAGAACTGTATGATAACGATGGGGGACGGGATAGCTTTCTATACACTCTCCACATAAGCGAAGGGGAATGCCTTAAATGGAGGGTGGATGGTTTTGAAAAGGACTTCATTCTGTGGAACTTTGAATCTAATTACAAACACAGAATTTGTAACCGGTGATATCGTATTTCAATTGCCTTCGCACAAGTTCATTACTCCGAAAAACTTAATGGTAACGAGCAGACCATCGTAAAGTTAAATAATATAGCTATCAAACCAATGAGAGTCAGACATTAAGAGAAACGCCGGTGTTTTTTAATTTACGGACGATTCGGTCGTTAACGAACCGACTCCGGCCGAACAAGAAGGGCTTTACTGGCTTGAGAGAAACTTGTACAGAACCGTAAACAAAGCGGCGAGCATCCTCACCATGAACTTCATTCTTCTATTCTGTGATAGAATAAGTGGCAAGAACACAGTGAGTAGAAGAGGGTTAACTTATAGGAATCCAAATCAAATGGTGAAATTTACAGACTTGGTGTCAGTGGACGATTTTCGCGCTGGTGCCATGGAAAACTGGGGTATGATGACGTTTGATGAATCCTCACTGCTTTATGCTAAAGGCGTTATTACTGATGAGGAAAAGGAAGGTGTCGCCATGACTATCTGTCACGAAGTTGCCCATCAGGTTGGCGAATGGAAAACCGGAGTTTTTTTTTCAGAGCAATGTGAGAAATAACTGGGAATATTGAGTATTTTCAAAATATGCGGAGTAATTTTTTTTGCTCGCTTTCGAGAAATTAAGGAAAGCTTAGAATCAGGGAAGCTCAAGCTCAATTGCTAAATATTCCATGAAGACTTCTCAGCAGTCATGAAATCAACAATCTATAATGGCTCTCAATAGAGCTACGCTCTGTTTTCTTTACAGTGGTTTGGTAATTTGGTGACGATGGATTGGTGGGACGACCTGTGGCTAAATGAAGGTTTCGCCAAATATATGGAGTTTCGATGTATAGATGACTTGTATCCTGATTGGAATATCGTAAGCGAAATTCATGGTGTTTATCAATACCAGAGAGAATTTATGTTGTTGGCCCAAATCAAATGTTCTTTTTTGTTATTCTAAAATCTAAATTTTATTCTAAAATCTTTCCCGCCATCACTTCTCTTACCTTGCGTGCCTAGTGAAGAGTTCCATTCGACTTTAAACTTTTGCCGATTAGGTGCTCTTTTATATGAACCCTGAGTGGTCTACCCGTTTTGCCAGCCTATTCGTCCCCAAGTGATTTACAAAAAACCAGTTACGTTGTCTTTTATAAATTAGTCGAACAAGCGATCATCAAATAGCCGATGCTTAAGTTTAGGTTTGATGACATTTAGCTCTTTTGGCAATTTCTGCGGTTCGCATGTGTTTCGACGTTAACCGTATCCAATCAGAAAATAAGCTTTGGCAAACAATGGTGGTAATTATGATCATCGGCATCGCATGTCATCAGAAGAGTGCTTCTTTTCAGATGACCCAATTTTACACAAAGAGTGTTGTTCGAAGTCACGCAGAAGATGGTCAACCTAATCCACGACCCGTCTCAAGTCATTCACTCGACATAAGGTCACTGTTTGACGTTATGAGCTACCAAAAGGTGAGGACCATTTTCTGAAAACCCTACTAGGAAGATATTGGCAGATAAATAGATATTGGCATGGTAGATATTGGCATGGGACTACATTGACATTTAATTATTGATGATCATCGCTTCCATGTACAGGTCTTACGCTTTCCCATTCTTCTGCTTCCCAGCAGAGGTCGTCTGAGGTTGACTGGAACTCGTAAAACTGTCTTCATCACCTTTCTCCAAAAGAAGTACCAAATATCTTGTCATCTAGTATCGTCTCCTTGCATCATGAAACGGCTATGCCCTTTGTTTTTGCTGTGACGACGAAGTCATGACATTTTGAAATATGCCTTCTATCTCTCCGGGGTCGGCAAATTGGTACCAGGCTTGTCTGGGAGAGTAGGAGCACTGGGTCGATACATCGGTAGGCCATTGCGAGCCATTCTAAAGGCCAGACATGAATTCATTCACCTCTAAACGATGCTCAATGAAGTTGAATGCATACCGCATCCCTCAGGGATTGATCGACGCCGAAAGCTCTACTCTTTTTATTCCATAAAACGAGGTACGTCCGTCATATTTTCCCAAAGAGTATGTGTTCATTAATTTTACAATGTTACTAGCAGTTTTTAAGGAGGTAACATACCGAAATTCATGTTTTTGAATTTCGGTTTTAGTCATTTGCAGCTAAAAGTGCGCTTTTCTAATAGATTTGAAGTAAAGGGTTGCCATTTTTAACTTATTATTTACTGCCTACTCTTTTTAACGGCAGGGTATACATTGTGAAATATAACTTCAATTATGCTGAGATATTTGCAAAACTCCGGACCGCAGGCGCATGCGGTGGTGAACGAACGCGCTTTTGTCCCTTCCGGGGTTAGCGCGTTCACCACCACACCATGTGGGTCCTTCCTTTCGCCTGTCTCTCAGTTAGTTCTGACGGATAATTGCTGACTGCAAAAGATCGATAGAGCTAGCTGAGAGACAGGCGAAAGGAAGGACCCGCGCGGTGTGGTGATGAACGCGCTACTCCCCGGAAGGGACAATAACGCGTTCGTTCCCCACCGCATACACCTGCGGTCCGGAGTTTTGCAAATACCTCAGCATCATTGAAGTAAAGGGTTGCCTTTCATTGTCGTCGATTACTTGTTGTTCATCCCTTGCTGTCAATATCCTTCTTGTTTTTCATATAGAACAGAGACCAGTATTTTTCAATGCAATGACAATTTTTCAGGGCTCTGCGATAATACGAATGATCGAATCTTTAATGGGTGAACAGGAGTTCGTGCGGTCACTCATCGAGTACCTCAACAAATACGCGTACGCCAACACAAAAGGCTCACAATTATGGGATATCGTGGAGAAGGTTGAAAAAACCTGATCTGTTCATTTCTTCGAATTGTTTTCATTTCCCCAAATACTGAAATGTCTTTTGGCTTTTCCCTATCCTAATCTCTCTTCTTTTTTATAGAAGTAGAGCTAGACAAGTGTAAGACGAAGAATAAAACGATTCTGAATAAAAAATAGTGTCCAATAATTATAAGGTATTAAATGAATGATGACCGAATAACGTTGTGACTCAAGCTCAATCCCATATTAATGCACCACACCTTCGATTTCAGTACGTCGTCCTTCCCCATGGAATTTCCCTTCAGAATGTGGCAAACGCCTACATTAAACAAGCCGGATGTCCAGCGATTTTTGTCACGTTGTCTAACATGGAAGTCACCGTGCACAATCAGGTCAGCAAATGTTTTTTCTTTCGAGCTTTTTCGATGGAGCGGACGATGGTTAATAGAATTTAAGTGAGGTGCGAGACCCATTTCACATTATGGGATGAGAGCATCATATTCTTGTTTGCCAATCGCAAGTGTGTGCTTCTCTTGAAATCCTGATCGCAGTCCCGTAGCGTTCTGAGATCCTAAACAAAAGCAATAAACAGGTTTATCGCCTTGCTGATGGTTTTATTTCTTTATGATGGTAACTTCCCACACTGCACAACTCTAAAATAAGCTTTCTGGTTGAAATTGTAAGCTATTGAAGTAAAGCTGCTTGATGAAGCTTCTTCAATTGTAAGTTGCAGTTAAAACTTTAAAATATGTCGTTACCAGAGAAAGGGTAAAAGTTAGACTGCTTAGGAACGAAACATTTCGACAAGGTAAGAACGAGGACATCGCTGGTAATCAGTTGAAAATGAGAAAAGACTACTTAAGATGACAAATAACTCTTAAGAGTAAAGGCTTGTACTGAGTGAGACCTTAGCGCAATTGCTAAATATCTAGACTCGCTATTTCTTCTATGATGGTATGCGAGACAATACCAGATGGACGATTCCCATACACTATCGAACGGACAGTCAACCCGAGTCACGATTACAGTGGATGAAGGCCGACCAAGATAAAGGTAAGATTTAATGATGGTATAGGTGGGCGACTCTGATCCACGAGGACTGCGACTGCCTGTCGTGGTGAAGACCTGAAGCAGACTTTGGCGAGGCTGACCTCGGGACTCCAGGAAACCATAATGGCTTAACCAGCAAATCTCCAAAAAATGGAGATTATGCTGGGGTTCGCACAACCAGTGAACATGGGCCATTCAAGTATTCAAGTAAGTGTAGGTGGGCGACAAAACACTCATGGGAGCGAACATAGTCTGCAATCAACGGGCTGATGGCGGACGAGCATAATAAGACCGCATGACGATGCACTAACTCAAAAATTTATTGTAAATGTATTTCGATTATTCCGCCAGAGTGAAGGGAAAGCCTTGCTTTGCACTTTCTTTACATAGTCAGTGTTGTGTTGTTGTATGACATGGGAAGGTTTATTGCACGTAAACTTAAAAGTTTGCCTTCATATCTGCTGTGCAGATCTCAGCACTTCTTGCATTCGAGCCGTTTCCTTGCATCGATTATCCACGAATGTCTTCGACCTTTCCGCGTGTGGGTTCGATTGCTGCGTTTCTGCTCCTCTATAAATATTGTTGAATGCTAGTTCAGCCGACCTTCCCTGGAGTCTTAGAATAGCATAGACGGAACGTTCCCACTCCGACTGCTAGCAGTGGGCTGTTTCCGGTCAGGTCTCGTACCGCTTTCACGACTATGGATGGAAGAGGGACTTGCTGAGCGCGGGGCGGTGTCGAACCAGTACAGTCCTCGTAATGAATGCCATCACTGTTACTGCACTATCCGCCTTTCGCAGCAATTTGTTTTTTCGAAGCAGAAAATTGTTAGAAGTGTTAACTGCATGACAGAATAAGCAGTCAGAAATGTTCAGTTTTCCCCTCCACGTTCATCACTGCTTAAGTCACCACGTATACTGGCAATATTTCCATTTAACACTTTGTTAATTTTAGTAAGCTGGCCGTTGATGAAGAGCTCCAAGTGGGTGATAGCAAACACTGAAAGTCTAGGCTATGTAAAAGTGCTCTATGACGCGAAAAACTATGCGGAACTTGCGAAACAACTGCGCACCGATCATACGGTAAGTAAACAAGGAAATATACTTTTTTTTTACAAGACTCGTCTTCATATCTACTGTGCTGATCCTAGCACTTTTTGCATTTAACTTGTTTTCACTCGTCCGTCGTCCTCGCAGGTCTTTTATATTGTTGCTTGTGGGTTCAGCTGCTGCATGAGGATTTTCCTTTTGTCACGAAAGTCGTTGAATTCTGGTTGACTCGGTTCTCCCTGGGGTCGCGAGATGGTCGGCCTCGAGCGTTTCTGCATCGATTGCAGAGAGCTAACAATTCCCCAAGAAGTTTGGTACCGATTTTCTTACTCCAGAAAAATAAGAGGCTTATTGGATCGAAGCTGGGTCGAACCAGCACCGTGCAAGTGATGATCGGCGTTACTTCCAAACGACTACCTACTTTATTCAGGGCCATATGGCTGAACATTATTGGGCCAGACAAGTCTGGAAGAACAAAAAACTCCGATTCTATACATTACTTATTCCCCCAAAGGTCATTGTATATTCGAAACTTTCATTGAATTTACTGTGCGATGCTTAATAGATACGAATATATGGAGTATTCCCAAAGAATTTATGAGCACCGAACATCTTGCTACTAAGGGTATGTGTTTATGAATAGTAGTAGGATTCTAGAAAAGCGTTTTGTTGTAAAATATTCCTGCACCATGCAATTCCAGTACTCCTTCCAAAATTCCAACGTTCCTTGTCATTTGAACTCCGGCTTTTGGCTAAAACAACGAAATGCAGCAGTACATGTTCAACCACACCTAGGCCAGTTTGATGCTACACAGACGTAGTCAATCTCCTGCCTGTGTACTGGCGTTTGAGGGTAACCATAAGGTCTCTTTTAATCCACGTTAAGACCGTTTTACTACTACATGCTGACGTACCAACCAAGCCTTCAACCAATCTGTTCGAGATTTACGTAGATGAACATCTTTCTTCAAATAAATCGATATTAAAGGCGATTTCGGTTGTCGATCGGACAATGATCCTTACCGATGCGTTCGATTTCGCAAAGTCGTCGAAACTTAACATTGAAGCCTATCTTAACCTTCTTCTATACGCTTCAGGTACAGTATTTTTGATCAACTGGCTTGTTTTCGACCAGAGAAATAGCAGTTTTCAAAAAATCCATGAATAACACGGTTCTAATTTAGAAGAGATGGATTACCCAGTTTGGAAGATGATCAGCAAGCAAATGAAGTACATTGAAAACCTTATTGAGGAAACTCCTTTTGCACACATTTTCAGGGTGGGCATTGATTTTGTGCAAGAGAATGTATGTACTCCTTAGGTCACTTTCAGCAAATATTTAAATGGCTCATCTTCACTTGTAGTGTAGATGGCAGCCGTTATTCCATTAGTTTCATTGCCTGCAACTGTCACCCATCGAGGTGATTAAATTGGTGCAATGCTTTTACCTATCACTCCAGCTTCTGTGGAATTCTTCCCGCGTTGATATTCTGATCGAGAGTGCTTCTTTTGGAATCTTGATACAACTGTAAGAGAGCCTTGCGAAATCATCTCCATAGGCGTGGCGTTGTAGATGAAACGGAAGGCTGCAGCACTGCGGTTTGGATTCCTCCGCAATGACAGCGATTCCTGCGATTGGTCAAACGACTGCTTGAAGTCGATGCAACATAGCGAATCCCGTACCACTTTATAAGCAATAAAGTCAATGGCCACACAGCAGGAGAAAACGAACACGGAAAAATGCGAAGAATATTCTATATTAAGAAAAACATATGGTTTGAAATCGGCAATTACTCATAGATAAGAGTAATAATCAAATAATACAAACTTACGAGATGATTTTGAAGTGTTTTACTATAACCACAACGTTGCTGAGATATTTGCAAAGCTCTGGACCGCAGGTGTCTATGGTGGGGAACGAACGCGTTATTGTCCTTTCCGGGGAGTAACGCGTTCACCACCACACCATGCGGGTTCTTCGTTTCGCCTGTCTCAGCTATTTCTATCGATCTTTTTGCCACAGCAATCACCCGTCAGCGGAAAATTATAGAAGGAAGAAAACAAAAACGTTAAACATTGTTTTACTATATTTATTAAAAAAGCAACCCTCCCTCCACAAAGATATGTATCTGGGTGTCCGTTCGATGTATTCAAGCTAGAAACCATTGTCCGGCAAGGTTATCCCGGGTCTGCCTTTCTGAAAAATTATGGAGATAAACAAAAATAAGCAATCGTTATTTTTACTGTTATTATTTAGTAGGCATGCGTACGTGCAAATTTCTAGCATACTTATCAAGGAGGAAAATAGCACTGTCTTGATAGGTTGTTATGCGATGAAATGCTGTTATGTGGACCAAATATGGCATTCAATCACCTCTGCAATGCTGAGAATGCGGTCGAATTTATGGCGCATCAATAGATCGACGCTGAATGCTTCATTTTTCCTGACCTGCCCTAGGTGTTCAAAAATGGTCCACCTTCAGTTGTTGGTTTTAGACTAATAGGTGAACCTCATAGCTTAACAGCTTTCTTCAGTCTGTAGTAGCGTATAAAAAGTAGATGACCCTCTCTGCGAAATCACTGTCGCTTTGGTGCAGAGTGTTTGGGGAATGAAAGAGGACAGCAGAACTAAAGAAAAGAAGGGACCAACGAAGACCATTTATAATCATGAGTCATGGACGCCATCAAATTTTATGCACAGTTGGCAACGTTCCCCTCTAGGTCGAATTTCATATAACCTTAAAGCGCCGTCAAAGCTCATTGATTCGATAGGTGATGATCACAATGGAAAGAAATGAGAGCGATGCTGAGACATGCATTCCCTGCTGAGTTGACCATTTTGCTGAACAGGAGTACATGAAAGTTCTGATTGTAATCTTTGGCTTTTTTGTCTCTTCGTGCTTTCGTCATTCATTCGCACATAGCTTAAATT